CCGATTTTAAACTGATTACTACCTGATTACCACCTGATTTATGCATATTTTGTACCAAAAATTTGGTACAAAAATATACATAAATCAGGTGGTAATCAGGTAGTAATCAGTTTAAAATCGGGTATCTGATTTGTGCCTGATTTTTTATCTTTCGACCTGTGTCAGATATATAACTTAATATAGCTTTATTCTGCACATAATTTTTACATATAATTTTTACATACGTACTTGACTATATAAAATTCAAACATATTTCGATTTGTACAGTATTTATGTTAATATATCGCTTTTACTTTAATTATTCAACCTCATTTAATATTCATGCCACCAAGCTTGCAAGATTATAATCAACTTTTCCTGAACCCAGCCGACGTTTTCAATAAACGTATTTCATCATAATATTCAAACTCGTCACACACCATATTCACATAAATCATAAATTTCATGCATTTGGCAACAAGTTCAAGGTTCGCCTTATAAAAATATTTTACTGCCCTACGAAATTCTTTGATTATTTTTTTAAATCTGTAATTATTTACTCCATCTTAATTCTTATGATTGTCGGTTTAGGAACAAGGAACCGCCGTTTGAGAAAAAAGTTAAATGTTCTTATAAATGGTGTGAATTATACAAAGCTAAACGTTATAGTCATACTAGTCATAATTCTTATGAATGTTGGTTTAGAAAAAAGGAACCTCCGTTAAAGAAGAAAGATTTAAATGCAGCAACTTCTAAAAATTTTACTTTAGTTAAGAAGAAGGCTGGGGCCTCCCACTGAAAAATCTCCCATTCCCATGGAACAAATCACCTGAAACAAAAAAAGTCTCCTGTGATTTGTATTTTGCGGGATTCTGTAAAGAAAATGAACATATTGGATGGGGTAATCATTGGTTTTGGGACGATATTCATTCAGACAAATATTTGCGCTATTCATTTTGCTTTAAAAATAACTACAACACTTATGATTGCAAATTTAAAAAAGCATTATAAATCGAGAAAGAAAAATTGAGATGCGAGAAATATTCTAAAAAATATAAACGGCATTAATTTACTATGCAAAAGTGCTTTTTTATTATTGTAAAGAGCAATTTTTATTATTCTTCATAAGCTTATTTTAGCGACAATGATATAACAGATAAAGTAAATCAAAACACCTTTATAATTTTTTGGTTCAAAATCCAATAAATCTTATATAACATCAAGACAAAACAGATTTCATATCAAATGTCAAGGTAATGCCTATTTGATCTTTACTAAGTGCATCATACATTTCATTTTATAATTATTAGAATTTTAACATATAATAAGTTACATATAAGTTATAATACTTACACATTAAAAAGTGATTTTTTATTTTTAAATTTTTTATAGATTATTTCGAGATATTCTGCCACATTTCTTCCGGATTAAATGCGATATTCCAAATCCTATTTGAATGTAAAATTTGTTAATTGCTAATATAATATAAATCTTTTATATTTACTATTACCTTTATATTATTAAATATACGACAATTGGCACTATTATATTGGCGTATAGGAGCAGAATTATGAGAAATATCTGATGTAATATGTATATTTTCCGATTTTTTTATCATCTCTTCATATTGTCCTTTTTTTTCTTTGTTGTTAAATGCTTCGACGGCAAACCATTTATTATCATAACTATCATCTTTTACATCCTTCTACAAAAATAAAATATATTACTATAGAATATATAAATAGCAAATTGATTTTAAAATATTACCTCAAAAGCTTTTGAATATCGTTCGAGTGATTCTCTCGGCAAGTGTTTTTTAATTCCATTTTTGTAAATAATATGATCAGTTTTCTTCACAAATGAAAAATCACAACATGTTATTCTATAATCTAAGAAATGGTTTATATTCCAGAACTCTTGTGTGTATTTTAAAAAATAGTTACTACAGTCACTACTGTCATTAACGTCAGTTGTCATTTTCTATCGATCAGCAGGATCGATGGCAAAAGCTTGTTTTGATTGGTTGCTTATAATGCTTTTAATTTTGCCCAAATTTATATTCTAAATCTGCCCAAATTAACTAGCCAATCAAATCATAAAATTTAAAATTTAATAAAAATGAAAGCGAAACAAAATAGAATAAATTAATATAAAATTTATATTTTAGAGTTTAAAATAAGTGCCTAGAGAAGCAAACATATATTTATCAATTTATTTACTCGTTAATCCAATTAATTAACATCTATATCTCTCCTATACTTTGACTCTATCAGATATATATAAAATCTAAATATTCTATCTCGTATAATCTTTTATAACATAATCCGTTTAATTTCAGTACATATATACAATCTCTATTGTATCTTTATAATTATCACGTGCTACATATTAGATGTCTAAATTTTCAAATTTGATAAAGCGTTTCTGAATATTCACAGAGAATAAAAAAAAGTTCATCAGCTAATAAAATCACATAATTTAAAACAATTTTTGAGTAATCCTGTCATGAACATTACGAAAAATAGAAAAAGTATACTCGAGCATTTAATTCTATAAATATCGTCATCAATTGCGATGCTTGATCAATTGATTTAGATGCTTGTAAACCACATGATTAAATTTCAATTGTCGCGCCAAACCATGTAACAGATGAATGTAAGCTTAATAAAATATTTTAAAATCAAGTAATTGAACATTTAAAATATTGAATCATCTCATTAAAATAATAATCAATTACTTGATTTTAAAATATTTTTATTAAAATCATAATTTCCTTTCCGTCACTCATATAAAGTTTTAGCACAAAGGTGTTGATCAATTAAAATTAGATTTTTGAACTTTATATTTACGTAATTTGTATAAAATCAATTTCCAAGAATTGAATGAAACATTGAATGAAACTCAACAGTATTGTAAAAGCGATTTCATAGTCATAATCATTTATAAAATATTTAAACTATGACTTCATCTATATCTTATTCAAACTTGCTCTGACTAGGATCAGAATTCCTTTAATTATTACAAAACTCATCTGCAATATATTTATACGTCTCAATTTTTTTTATTTTCATCAAGTAAACGAAAATGCCTAAACCACCACCAGATTATCATCTCGATCTAACAGAATATCAAAGATTATATGATTTTATAAAAAACAAAATTTTAGATAAAAAAGTTTTGACAAGTTTATTTAAGGAAACTACTAGCGGATTCGGAATGTTTCTTGATAAAGATCATAAAAAAGTCAGAGAGTTAGGAACTAAAACATTAAGTGATATAACAAATATTCCTTCCAAGATACCTGATCTTTCATCTGAAGCATACGACTTTTTACAAAATTTGGATAATGAACTCAAAGGCCATTATAATAAAAGCGATCCCGTGGTGAACATAACCAGGAGCAAATATTTTTTTATCGATGCAAAAATTGACGAATTAACCTATCTAAATTATCCTTTTATGAGAGTATTTGTTCTTAATAAATATCCTTTAAATTATCTAAAGTTTTTCATAGCTCAGTTTTTCAAATTAGGCACCAATGTTAAACAAACGTTTAAAGTTTTATATAATGTTGATAAAGATAAGGTAAATGGTATTTCTGTTAATGCAATCAAGGCTGTCATTTTGACCTCAAAACAATAATATTTTAATTACCAAAAATGAACAAAATTTTAACATTAAACTGGTAATAATTAATCAGAAAAAATTAATTTTGAAGTTTTTTTTATAACGATAATCGAAAAATTGTTCACAATGCTACATTTATTGAAATCAATCGGCCAACTTTGAAATTTCAAACCTGAGAGATTTTTTTCTTGTTGATAAAAATTAATGTATTATTTCCTGTTTTCTATTACTCATGAAAATTTTTTCTTTTTATTTGTTCATCTATAAAGAAGTATTAAAATTATGTTAAAATCTAAATATTTAATTAATTAGGAAAAGAATAAATTCATTGTTTATGGTAATGCTAATTGAAAGTTATTTATTCGTTAAATTCTTTGCATATTAAAAATAAAATTGTTAGAAAAAAGTTTAATTTAATTTTTTTTTTAATAAAAAAAAAGGTAGGCATTTGTTGTATATAAAGTTTATGATATGTCACCCTTTCTTTGGGTCCTTCATAGAAAACCACTTGACAAACACCTGCTTATGTGGCTTGGCAAAAAAGGTGGACGACCTGTATCCGAAAAAGTTTTTTGCAATTATCTAATAAATACCAAGCCGCCGAAAAATAAAAATTTTTAGAGTGCATTTTTAGGGTTAGAGGTTAATGATAATCCATAACGGCTAACAAACCTTAATAAACCAGTTGACTTGTACTTGGATTTTGAATGAAGTTCGTTTCAAGGTTTTTGCTATTACAGAATCCATATTAAAACTACTATTAGAATACACTTATAGCTATGTTTTTTCTTAGTTGATCATTGTAGTTATCATTGCAAGAATAACATAAATGGAAAATCGTATATTAAAAAAATTACATACATTGACAGGAGGACATTTCCTGTGTACATTATGATTGATTAATATCACAATTCAGGCTCAAATTAACCATGTGACAAAATAAAAAATTTCAATTTTAGTTTAACTTTATTATTGTGTTGGCAGATTTATTTTTTTTTTAGGATTTGAATTAATAAAAATATTATATTTTGGTCTTATTGAATAATTTCATTTTAATATTTTATTGAATTAATATTTTTCAAATAGAATTATCAAAATTGCCACAATCCAAGGAGCTTTTTATTTTTCTATATCGAATTATTAAAATACATTTAAGTCTAGTATTTGTATTGTTTTTCCTTTTTATTTTTTTTTATAGCAAAAATACTGTAGTATCATTATTTTATCACGATTAAATAGTTTTTTGTTTTTAGAAATTACCAGATATTAAATAAAAATATTTATTTCCAATGGATGCTAAAGTAATTTTCTTTTTTATCTTTTCACTTGTGATTTCAATTTTTTCTCAAGTTGAATGTAATTATTTTCTTTGTGATTAAGGTGCGCAATCATTCGAACAGCTTAAAAATTATGTTGAAACATTATGTTTGGTGAATAATGTATCTTTTAGTTATTATTATCGTTATGGACAACAATGTCAAAATTGCTGGCATTCTGGAATTGGTTTGAGGTCTTGTGACAACTTGAAAAATAAATTTGAAGGATATTAAGTAGTAAAATTCCTTTGATATTAAATAAATTAAAATTTTTAATTACTATAAAGATATGTATTTTATTCTCTATTAACTAACGCTAAAACAAAAATTGGCAAAATACATAACAATGGAAATTTATGATTTTTTATACTATGTTTCTGTCCTTCTGTACTTATATAGTAAAGTCATGTTATATTTATGTTACGCATAAATATTATTGTAAAATTCAAATAAAAAAAATAGAACACGTATTGAACTTAAATTTTATAATAAATTGACTCAACAATTAAGTCATGGCAAAATTATTAACTGCAATAAATAAACAAAATAATTGGTATCGATACGTATATTAATTCATCTTGGCATGATTCCACGATCGTACGAAACTTTTTTGCTAAACCTCTCAGACTTAATATTTTTCACTTGCACAGTATCATCATAGAGGTTTGTGTAGTA